ACTGTTCCCTCGGGTCCCCTCCGCAGAGCTGGGGACCCCTGGCAATGCCCAGATCCCAGTATCTGATGAGTATTTGCCTGGCCTGGCAGACTCTCTCCAAACTTCCAGGCTTGCAGAACCACAGAGTGACTGCTGGCCCTGCTGGGTCCAGTGAGTCACCCGGACCTGCCCCGCCTGGGTGGTGTGAGCCGTGAGGGGCATCCTGAGGATGGGTGAGGGGCGGGAAGACACTGGGGCTCTGTCTGCCCTGGACAGGCGGCCAGTGTGCAGCAAACAGGAAGCAGGCAGGGCCCAGACCTGCTAGGTAAACACCGGCCAGGGAGGGTGCCAGTGGCGTGATGCCCCCCGCTGCCACCCGCCCAGGGCCAGGGAGCCAGGAGCAGGCTGGCAGGCAGCAAGTTTTGCCTGGCCGAGGGCCTGAGTTCCCAGCCGGCTGCTCCCTGGGGCGGCTGCTCTGCCGTGGCTGCCAGAGACTACCTTCCGACGCCGACCATGGAGGCCGCCGTGGTCCTCTGTCCATCCAACAATAGTGAGGGGGCCTCGCTGCGTGCAGGTGCTGTGCAGGGCACTGCTCGGGGCTTGAACCCCGTGATGGGGGTCTGCAGCCTGGCCTGTGCTCAGCCGAGGTCCAGGAAGGCTGAGGTGGCCCAGGTGGCGGCTGGTGACTGCATCTGTCTTCCAATCTCGGTGTCTTCCCTGCCCCCAGCCCCTCCCCCTGGGGGCCTGCTCTGCCCTCCCCTCCCTAGAGCCGGGGAACAGGAGGGAGACCCACAAGTCCTTCCTTGGCTTCTCTTGGCCCCAGGGGTCTGCTGGGGGGTGCTTTCCACCCCAGCCTCCCGCCCACCGCATCTCCCTCCCAAGACTGAGCTGCATAGCAGTCCAAACAGGCCGGGACCTGGAGCGTCGGCCAGGAGGGAGTGCAAAGCCCGTGGCCTCCCTCCAAGCCCTCCGCAGGCTCCTCTTCTTCCTGCCTTTCTTCCCACCACCTAAGAAAATAGGGGTTCCCCTGTCCCACTCTGGCTGGGCATGGTGGCGCTCATCCGTAATCCCAGCTATGTGGGAGCCATAGGTAGGAGGATCGAGGTCGGAGGGCCACCTTGGCTACAAAGGGGGGCTGTGTGTGGCGAACGGGGGGGGGGGCTGGTACAGAGGGGGCGCAGGAAGGCATCTCAGAAAAAGTGCCATTTAAAGCAGAAGGCTGGGGGGTGCTCAGTGGTAGGGGACCTGGGGACCCCAGTTTGCCAGGTCCTGAGTTCCACCCCCCAGCATGGAAGGGGGCATAAATGAAAAGCATGAGCCCTGAGAGTACGTGGAAACAGCTCCACAGTAAGGGAACCGCATGGCAGGCAGAGGGAACAGCCCAGGCAAAGGCCAGAGCCCAGAAGCCATGGGCCTCCCCTCAGGCTGGAGTTTTTGGGGCCTTATTGTTTTTTGTCTCTTGTGCCAATGCAAGATGCCTTGGGGTACCCTGATCCCAAGAGATGCTGCCAGCTCCTGGAACCCTTTCTCTGTGCCACGGGGCCACCCAGCACGCCCAAACTTGCCCTCAGATTTAAGCAGCTTTCCTGGGTGCTGTAATCAGGAGGTTGGGATTTGACAGATTCCTGACAGGGTTTCCATGAGATCAGACAAAGCCCCAGGGACCCAAGGCTGGGTGGGGGCGGGGCGGGGCCCTGGGCCCTGGCTGCTTACTGAGAATCTGCTCAGGTGCCACTCCACTTGGACAGGTGAGGAAATTGAGGCTCAGGGATACTTACCCCCACGCACTGGCAGGGCTGCGAGCAGGGGGCTCAGGATCTGACCGGGGCCCTGGGACCCTTCACAGCTTCCATCTTTGTGGACTCCAATATGGTGCATGGATTTTTTTCTTTCTTTTTGAGACTCATTCTGTAGCCCAGGCTAGCCTTAAAATCCTCCTCCTCCTCCTGCTTCAGCCTCCCAAGTGCTAGGATTATAGCATGTCCCATCATGCCCTACATTGGTGTGATTTTTTTTGGGGGGGGGTGGGGAGGTCAGTCTGGGGCTGGAACTCGGGGCCTGGGCATGTGCGTCTGAGGTTGAGGCTCAAGGCTAGTGCTCTACCACTTGAGCCACAACTCCATTTCCAGCTTTTTTTTTAAAGGTGTTAATTGGATATAAGGAGTCTCGTAGACTTTCCTGCCCAAGCTAGCCCCGAACCACAATCCTCAGATCTCACTGTCCTGAGTAGCTAGGATTACAGTTGTGAGCCACCAGCACCCGGCTGGTGTGATTTTTTTCTTTTTTTTTTTTTTAGTCAGTCATGAGGTTTGAACTCTGGACCTGGGCGCTGTCCCTCAGCTCTTCAGCTCAAGGCTAGCGCTCCACCACTTGGGCCACAGTGCCACTTCCAGTTTTCTGGTGTTTTATTGGAGATAAGAGTCTCACAGACTTTCCTGCCCCAGCTGGCTTTGAACCGCCATCCTCAGATCTTAGCCCCCTGAGTAGCTAGGATTATAGGCGTGAGCCACTGGTGCCTGGCTGATTTTTAAAACAAACAAACAAACAAAAAATCCCACTTGAAAATGCTGCTTTGTGTGAATGGGATGGGAATGTGTGTGCTGTTCACACTTGTTTCCCCTGGGCACACGCATGTGTGCATGCACGCCTGCTCCCAGTGCCAAGGAGATGCACATTGCCCCGTACCCGGCCTTCCTCCTTGGCTAGCCCCTCCCTCCCGAGTTGGCAGCAGTTCGGAATTCATAATAGCAGCCTGCAGGGCAAATGGGAACAAGGAGGGAACCCTCCCTCCCCACACCACAGAGAGCTGGGCAGCATTTGCAAGGAAGCCCAGAGAACCATGCGGCTGTGCGTGCGTGCGCATGCGTGTGCACATGTGTGCAGTGAACCGGGTGGCTGGGCTGCATGGAGCCCAGGTTCGGCTTTGCTGGGTCATTTGCTCCCTGGTGGGCCTTGGCTAGCCTCAGTGTTCTCAGCTGTGCAATAGGAGCAAGGGCTGTGAGGCCTGGCACCCAGGCAGTGCCCAGGAGGCCTGTGGCCCTGGCAGCCACAGCAGTTTGGTCGCTGATCCACTGTGTGGCCCTCGGGGCAACTCAGCTTAAGGCAGTCTCCTCCAGGGCAGTTTCTCCACCTTGGTCTTGGTGGTGCAGGGCTGTTCCAGCCCTGGCCTGGGTGCACTAGAGGCCCGGAGAGCATCCTCTTACGTGGCAGTAGCCACACTTGTGGCCTGGTGGGTGTGTGGCACCCAGAGCCTGGCCCGGCTCAGTTACTGTGGTGATTGATCTGAGAGTGATTTCTGCGTTGTCCAAAAAGAAAGGTACTCCCTCACGCAACAGCGACCCTCTGCACAGCACCTTTATAATAACAATAAAACATTTTTTTGATGTTTTTTATTGTGAAAATACTGTACAGAGGGGTTACAATTACATGGGCAAGGTAATGAGTACATTTCTTATCAAGCATTGTAGCCTCCTCCTTTGTTTTCCCTTCCCATCCCTTCCCATCCTCCCCACCCACCCAATCCTCCCCTCCCCCCCTCCCCGCCCCACCAAAGTTGTGAAGTTCCTTTTCAACATAACGACTTGTACATCTCATTGTTGCAATGGGTCCACCTGTATCCCTATTTAAACGATCTGTTTTTCCCCTTCCCCTCCACAAATTATACCGACATCAAATACAGTGAAAGCAGGGGTCATACTGTGGGGGACAATAAAACATTTTTAAAAAAGAATTATTCCTGAAGCTGGACACTGGTGGCCCACACCTATAAGTCCCAGCAACTCAGGAGGCTGAGATCTGAGGATCACAGTGCCAAGCCAGCTCAGGCAGGAAAGTCTATGAGACCCTTATCTCCAGTTAAGCAGAAAAAGATGTGGCTCAAGTGGTAGAATGAAAAAGCTCAGGGACAATGCCCAGGTCCAGAGTTCAAACCCCAGGACTGGCACCAAAAGAAACAAAAAGAAAAAAGAACTATTCTTTAGTGTGGTCATTAGAATCCTTACCATGATGGCCATCAGGCAGGCAGTGTCTGGGGGACCATCTGTCCTCCAATGCCTGGGTCCCTTTGGACATCCCTCCTAGCCTCTACACCCACCCCCCCATTCCTGGAGAGCAAAGTCCAAAGTCACGTAGCAGCCACAAGGGCCGAGTCCTGGTTGCAGGACAAGACCCAAGGTCTCCAGGGTCCTATGGGGTGCCGTGCAGAGTGGTCTGCAGGCAGCTGAGGAGGGGTGGTGAGCATTTTACAGGTGAAAACCCCAAGCCCAGAGAGAAACCTGTGTGTATCCAACCTCTTTGCGACTTGCCTATAAACCCTGTGAAGCTACCACAATGGTTCCCATTTGACAGAGCAGGAAACAGGCCACGCTGCATGTAAACAGCAGAGCTGGGATCAGAACTCAAGGCTTGAGAAGCTCTTAGACCAGTTCTTCCCCCATTTGTGTCCAATGGGGTGCCAGCCCTCAGTGGGCACTCTGACCCTCTGTTTCCTACCATTATCCCCCCCTCCCCCAAAGGGAGGCCTGGTGGCTTTGGTTCTGATTCTGTACAGTGGAGTCTCGATCCTGGTGCTGGAGGAGGCAGTGGGGCTCACTGGCCTGTGTAGGAGTGTGTTCTGGGTCTTCTGGCTTGTGCCCAGCTGCACAGGGTGGGCCCTGCCCAGCGTCTCTGCTAGTTCACCCTCACACCTACCCCCGTGTGTGGCTTTGAACCCAGCGCTGTGGAGCTGGGAAGCTGGCTCATGGGGTCTCCAGTTTGGGCCCGGGGCTGAGTGGATGGGGTCGCTGGGCCCCAGGCTGCCCCTGCCCCCAGCTTCCTGAAAGCGGCCCCTGTGGTGCGCGCTGGGCGCTGGCCAGGCCGACCACAGCTGGGCGCGGTGGCCTCGGCCCCTGTCATTACAACGGTGGCTTTGAAGCGGCTGGCGGCAGTGCTGTTTGCCCACGTGGGAGGGGGGCTTCCTGGAGCACCCACCCGTGGCCACGTGTTCCCCCTGACCCCCCTCCCCGTCCCCCCTCCCCCTGCAGGCTGAGCAGCGCAGCGGATCTGAGGCCAGCATGTCAGACGAAGGCCTGCGTGGGGGCCCCGGGGAGGTGGCCGAGGCCCCGGGGGACGAGAGCGGAGCCCCTGGAGGGGAGCCCTTCCCCCTGTCCTCGCTGGCCAACCTGTTTGAGGGTGACGAGGGCTCCCCCTCCCCGTCCCCGGCCGACACTGCCGCCCGCCCTGCCGGGCCCGGGGATGCCCGGACCAATCTGCGGATGAAGTTCCAGGGCGCCTTCCGCAAGGGGGTGCCCAACCCCATTGACCTGCTGGAGTCCACCCTGTACGAGGCCTCGGTGCCCGGGCCCAAGAAGGCGCCCATGGACTCGCTCTTCGACTACGGCACCTACCGCCACCACCCCAGCGACAACAAGCGCTGGAGGAGGAAGGTTCTGGAGTGAGTACTGCCGAGTCCCTCCACTGTCCATCCGTCCATCCTCCACCGCCCACTAACCCGCCCATCACCCATCCTTCCCGCCGCCCCACACCCGCAACTGTTTACCTGTGAGTCTTCCTTCACCCACCGGGTTGGCATGCCCTTCGCCATCTCTATGTACCCGTCCATCCATCCGTCCACCCACCCAGCCTCCCTTCATCCATTCACTTACTGTGCTCATGTCCACCCATCCATGTGCTTCTACCTGTCCGCCCCGGCTACACACCCGAGATGTGCATCTGCCAAGATGTGCATCTGAACGGCACACGCCTTTCCACTTGCCCAACCTCTCCTTCACCCATGCATTCAGGCACACACCTGTACATCTGTCCGCCTCTCATTTATCTGTCCAGCCATTCGACCAACTTTTTTTTTTTTTTTTTGCCAGTCTTGGGGCTTGAACTCAGGGCCTGGGCACTGTCCCTGAGCTTCTTTTGCTCAAGGCTAGCACTACCATTTGAGCCACAACGCCACTTCTGCCTTTTTCTGTGTATGTGGTACCAAGGAATCGAACCCAGGGCTTCATGCATGCTAGGCAAGCACTCTACCACTAAGCCACATGCCCAGCCCACCATTCAATCAGCTTTCCATCCATCTGCCATTTACATCTCCAAACGTCCCTTCATCCTCCAGTTTCCTCTCCTTTGCTACTCCTCCACCTATTTAGAAAACATTAATTCTAATTTTTTTTTAAAGAATTGACTCTAATTCTAAAATTCTAATTAATTAGAATCAATTCTAATTGTACACTTTTAATGCTTGGATGCCTGCCTGCCTTCCATTCTTCCTCCTTTCTTTCTCTTTCCCTCCCTCCATCTCTTTTCCCCTTTCTTTTTTCCTACCCAATTCTTTCAGCTAGAGGCTGGCTAGCCATTAGTTCATCTACTTAGTCACTCACTCATCCATCCATCCATCCATCCATCCATCCATCCATCCATCCATCCATCCAAGCTGGTCAGACCCCCAACTGTGACCACCTCCCCAAGCATCTCCTATCCCCTGAGCAGCCTCTGGCCTTTGTGGGCATCCAGAGTTGGAGACCATTTGAAATTAACCCTTCACTTCCAGGAAGGAGGAGAGCAGAGCTCAGGGTGTGACCATGTGTGGCATGGCCCACTGTCCTCCGACCACCTTCTCGGAACTGTGCCCGATCCTGTAGACGGGTGGATGGAGGAGTGGGTAGACATTATCAGTGGATGGCAGGGCGGGCAGGGGGTGAGTGGAGAGGTGGGCAAGTGGATCGGAAGATGGAGACGTGGGTGGATGGTGAGTGGCTGGCTGGCTGGGTGGGTGGATGGGTGGATGGAAGAGTGGATGAGTGGGTGGAGTGAATGGGTAGATGGGTGATGGATAGAGGGGTGGATAGATGGCAAGGTGAGTGTATAGATGGATGGGTTGATAGGGAGTTGGATGTGTGTGTGTGTGTGCGTGTGTGTGTGTGTGTGCGTGTGTGTGTGTGTGTGTGTGCGTGTGTGTGTGCGTGTGTGGGTGTGGGTGTGCGTGTGTGTGGATGTGTGTGTGTGTGCGTGTGTGTGCGTGTGCGTGTGTGGGTGTGGGTGTGCGTGTGTGTGTGGATGTGTGTGTGTGGATGTGTGTGTGCGTGTGTGTGCGTGTGTGCGTGTGTGTGTGCGTGTGCATGTGTGTGCGTGTGTGTGCGTGTGTGTGTGGATGTGTGTGTGTGTGCGTGTGTGTGTGGATGTGTGTGTGCGTGTGCGTGTGTGTGTGTGGATGTGTATGTGTGTGCTTGTGCGTGTGTGTGTGTGGATGTGTGTGTGTGCGTGCGTGTGTGTGTGGATGTGTGTGTGTGCGTGTGTGCGTGTGTGTGTGGATGTGTGCGTGTGTGTGTGCGTGTGTGTGTGCGTGTGTGCGCGTGTGTGCGTGTGCGTGTGTGTGTGTGCGTGTGTGTGTGCGTGTGTAGGCATGGGTGAGTGGATGGCTGCGTGGCTGGGTGGGTTCTGGATGGGCGAGCCGTGTGTTTCTTTGTTGGCAGCCCACACACAGCAGGTGTGCTGTTGGTCAGATGGCCTGGGTTCTCCACCTGTTTCCCTGTCCCCGTCCCTTGCTAGAGCCCTCGCTGCCCACCTCCCTCCAGGCACTAAGGCCGTGGATAAGAGTCCACGGGGAATGTGCCCCACCCCCTTCCCCCTCCAGGAAGCAGCCCCAGAGCCCCAAAGCTCCAGCCCCGCAGCCGCCCCCCATCCTCAAGGTCTTCAACCGGCCCATCCTCTTTGACATCGTGTCCCGGGGCTCCATCGCTGACCTGGACGGGCTGCTCCCCTTCTTGCTGACCCACAAGAAGCGCCTGACGGACGAGGAGTTCCGGGGTGAGCCACCAGGAGGGCCTAGCGGGGGGGGGGGGGGGGGACTGCTAGGTCTGGGGGAGGCCTGGTATTGCGGGGGGGGGGGGGGAGGGGGTCTCCTTCCCCTCAGCATTGCCTTTTGGGCCAGTAGATTGAAGAAGAGCACTGGACAAGGAGTCTGGTCCTGTGTGTCCTTTGCCATGCTACTTAACCACTCTGTTTCCCCACCTCCCCCTGCATGCCTTTGTTCATTCAGCATGCCCTTCTGCTCATGTGGGTTCAAGACCCACTTCTGCACTGAAGGAATGAGTTTTGTAAACTGGACAAGAATAGTAAAAGCCCAGTCCTGGCCTGGGGAGGGATCATTCAAGCACAGGGCAGCTTCCTGGTCTGCCTCCCCCCCCCCCCCGCCCCCCCCCCCGGCTCTGCTCCTGGCATCCCAGCTCCCAGCCCCCCCCCCCAGCCTGGAGTTCCACTGCCACCACCCCAGCACCCACTTTATCCTGGGGAATTCAGCTTCCAGTCCAGCCTGTGACACACACGCACGCACGCACGCGCGCTCCCAACACAAAGCTCCCTCTCTGCTGCCTGCGCCTCACCTGTCAGTCACCACAGAACACGCTGGGGGCGCGGCTCAAGCAGGGAGTGCCAGTCTAGAGAACAAGGAAGCCAAGCAAGCACAAGGCCTTAAGTTCAAACCCAGCACCTGCAAAAAAGAAAAAATAAAGTAGCCCCTGAAGGCCAGCTGAGGTGGTCTTGGTAGGGTCATGAGATACCCTTTTTTGAGACTTCAGGCATTTTAAACTAATGGCCTAATCAGATCATCTGTAGTTTATTTCACATAAACTTTGTTGGGTTTTGTTTCCTTTTGGAAATACTGGGGTTTGAACTCAGGGCCTTGTGCTTGCTAGGCAGGTGGTCTATCACTTGAACCATGCTTCCAGCATGATTCTTAGGACAGTGCCCAGGCCCTGAGTTCAAGCCCCCAGGATTGGGGCCTGAACTCTGGGCCTGGGCGCTGTCCCTCAGCTCTTCAGCTCAAGGCTAGCGCTCTACCACTTGAGCCACAGCGCCACTTCCGGCTTTTTTCTGCTTATGTGGTGCTGAGGAATCGAACCCAGGGCCTCATGCATGCGAGGCAAGCGCTCTACCACTGAGCCAACTTCCCAGCCCTTAAAATATAAATCTTTATTAAATTGTTGCCAATGAATCTGATTCTTAACATGAAAATGACAGTGTGATATCTTTGAGTTTATCAGTAGAGAATTACTTATTTATATTAAAAAAATAAAGCTGGGCACACACCTGCAATCCTAACTACACAGGAGGCTGAAAGCTGAGGATCATGAGTTGAAGCCAGCGTGGGTAGAAAAGTCTTTAATTAGCCAGCAAAAGGCTGCAGGTGGCAGTGTGGCTCAAGCGGGAGATTGCCAGCCTTGAGTGAAAAACCCAAGCAAGAGCGTGAAGCCTTGAGTTCAAGCCCCAGCAAAACCCAAACCCAAACCCAAAACCATATTAATTTGTGGTGCTGGGCCAGCCACGTCTGCTTCATTTGGGGGATGCAGACTGGGATCTGTGGGAACTTGGGGTGGGGGGCTTTCCTGACCTCAGTACTTCATTGGTGGTTACAGTCATGCCCTGAGCAAATTTACCCCCCCCCCCCCGCTCCCCACCAGTACACCGGGTTCTTCCTGGGGTCAATGGGGAAACTGAGGCAGGACGGACTGTGCACTGCACACGGTTCACAGCCTCTGAAGGGTGGAGCAGCACCCGGTGGGGCTTTCTGGGTTTTTCTTCCCCTGAGTTCGGGGCTGAGTGGAGGCTCAGCCCAGTTGGGGAGCCCCAGACAGGTGTGTGTCTGTGTGTGAGCAGAGTGGGGACCTGGATAGGCCTGGAGGGAGCCCTCTGTGTGCAGGGCCTGTGACTCTAACTAAGCTGAGGTCCCTTTCCCACCAGGGCCCCCAGGACTGACTTGTGTTCATAATTATGTGTTTATTTGTGCGAACAGGGCCCCTTAATTGTCCAGGCCTCGGGCTCCACAGAACCTGGGCCCGCCCCTGCCTGCTTTCCTGTCTAGAGTCAAATGAGGCCTGGGGCTCCCCCAGTACCCCGCTTCTGTTGCTTCACAACCTCCTGTTTGGCTCTGGGCCATTTACCATCCCTCACCAGGTCCTGTGACCAGCTACTTCGCCACCTGGTGGTCATTGCCAGAACTGCATGTCCCACAGACGCTGTTCCTGGAGTCTCATCCCAGGACCCAGGCGTCCGGTCCCACTTGGAGATGTTTGCAACTACAGAAATATTTTCAACTGCAGAAAATTTTAAACTACAGAAACGAACTGGTTACAAACAGAAGGAGTATCCACAAGAAACTGTGAGAGGAGTTAAGCTCCTCTAGTCAGGAAAATTCTAGGATGAGGCACCCCCACATTGGAGTTGAATCTGAGTGAGTCCCACTAGCTGGGAGAAAAGAGGAGTGAGGAGTGTTTCGGATGAGGGCGAGGGTGCTAGCGTGACACGTACAAAGGACCCGGGGCCCTCTATGATGAGAGTTATACCTCTTAGGTGACTACGGTAGCTGCTATGTAGAAAGTGTATGGAGGAAGGACAGAAAGGCTAGGGGGAAACCAAGGAGGAGTTGTGGGCATTTTACACCAGGGTGATGGCAGCAGAGATGGGAACATAGCAGGGCATGCTGGAGGTCAGCTTGGGGGAGGAAGGAAGACAAGGATGGTGCCAAGGCTTTTGGGCTGGATGTGAACTCCCTCCTCCCACAAGGACACATGTATAACTGGGAGTGGACTTGGGAGGGGAAGATGAGGGGGTGTGGAGAGCCAGGATTTGTCTGATAACAGAAAACATTGATCAAATGGACCCACACTGACTTGAGGCCACAGCTTCCGTGTCTTGGGGTCTTCAGAGTCCCCAGAGGCCTTGGCCAGCATACAAGGCAGCGCCCCCCACCCCCCACCTTACATACCTGGGGAATTGAACTTCATTAATCATCCAAGAAACTGTTAGCGAGTATTGCCCTGGGGCTGGGTGCCAGGGTACTGCAGGAAGCAGATGAGGAATGAGGCTGTCTAAGAAACTCCACTCCTGGGGGGCTGGGACTGGAGGCCAGGTCCCCACCAAGCTTTCCAGCCCTCCCTGCTGGTTCCTGGCATCCGGGGAGATGGCAGGAGAGTAGCTGCTCCAGGAATATTTATTTAGGGCTCCTATCTGCCTAGTGTCAGGCTAACCAACACACATTGATTCCTCCATTGACTTCCTTGCGTAAGGATACATTTGTCTTCATTGAACTAGAGAGGAAACCAAGCCGAGAACGGGGTGCGTGGCTGTCAGAACTTGAACCCCAGGATGAGCTGTTCCCCCCCATACACACTTTGGGCCATTCCTGCGTTCCCAGCAAGAACTCACAGGGCAGTTTCCTCTCATTCTCGCATTGACTCACTCTTTTGAAGTAAAAATCAACTCCAGTATCCCTAGAAATAATTACAAGAGAAAGAACATGGCAAAGGGCCATTGGCAAGCACTAATGAGTGGCATAAAGGACCCATTAGTATTTGAGTCTGACTTCGCAAGGGGGTTGAGCATCAATGGAATGATTGCTGCATTGGTCTGGCCCCCAGACCTGCCCCTGCCCTTTCTAAGGTGACTCCACATCCTCTTGTCCGAGTGCTCTAGCCTCTGGGGACTTGTGGGCACTCATGTAAACATTTCCTGGGAAAAGCCTCCTGTGTATCTGGAGAGCCTGCAGTTCCCATTAGCGGAATAAAGGCTTGGAGAAGTCCTGCTATAAGGAAGTAATGACTTACTGCTCCCCCACCCCCACCTCAAACCCTAGGGCCTCAAGCAAGCCAGGCAGGCATTGTGTCACAGAGCTATAGTCTGTCTACCTGGTTGACTTTGCTTAAGGCTGCTTTATCATTGACTTGATTCCAGAGCCCTTTGAAAAATTTCCCCAAAGATGTGCTCTGGGGTAGCCATGCCTTTAATCCCAGCACTTGAAATTTTGAGGCCAGCCTGAGTGAAACGCTATAGTAGTTTCTCAATTTTTCTTTTCTTTTTGTTGCTGATCATGGGGCCTGAACTCTGGGCCTGGGCGCTGTCCCTCAGCTCTTCAGCTCAAGGCTAGTGCTCTACCATTTGAGCCACAGCACCACTTCTGGCTTCTTCTGCTTATGTGGTGCGAACCCAGGGCCTCATGCATGCAAGGCAAGCACTCTACCACTGAGCCACCTTCCCAGCCCCTCAGTTTTTTTTCTCCCCAAATTCAATTAAGTAGCAGTCTGTGGCTGTGGCATTCCACATGTGGAAGTGTCTGTCCATGTGTTTATTTGACCCCAGAAGCAGCAGGAGACACAGATGGAGTCTCTGCGTCCCCATGAGATCGGCAGTGGACCTCAGAGACAAGCCGGGCAGCCTGGCAAGGACCCCAGCTCTGCTTCCTGCCTATTGCTCTGTGCCCACGCTACCCAGCAGTTCAAGACTAGGGTAAAAGCCTGCTTCTTCCTATCCACCTTTTCCAGAACCATCCACGGGGAAGACCTGCCTGCCCAAGGCCCTGCTGAACTTGAGCAACGGCCACAATGACACCATCCCTGTGCTGCTGGACATCGCTGAGCGCACTGGCAACATGCGAGAGTTCATCAACTCACCCTTCCGAGATATCTACTACCGAGGTGCTTGGGCCGGCCAAGGGAAGGGTGGATGGGTGTGAGGATGGTTGATGGGAGGATGGATGGCTATGGATGAAGGATGGGTGGCTGGCTGGCTGGTGGATGGATGGATAGATGATGGATGGATGGAAGGATGGATGGGTAGACAGATGATGGAAGAATGGATGGAAGAACAAATGGAAGGATGGATGGATGGGTTTGAAGACAAATGATGATGGATGGATGGTAGATGGATGGATGGATGGATGGATTAGAGGAACCTGTGCATCTGAAAAGCTCACACCGTTAGGGGTCCCCACATTCATTCTCCCTTGTACTTGACTCTACGATGTGGCAGACCTAAATTTCGAATCCCGGGGAACGTCTAAACCCCTGGTTGCTGCCTTCCAGTGTTGCTGAGTCTACCCTGTGGCTCCCACTGCCTGCTCTGTACCCGGAAGCGGGCCCCGTTGGGTTCCTGCCCTGCGGTGGCCCTGAATGCCCGTCTTTCTCCCCTCCCCAGGCCAGACGGCCCTGCACATCGCCATCGAGCGCCGGTGCAAGCACTACGTGGAGCTGCTCGTGGCTCAGGGAGCGGACGTGCACGCGCAGGCCCGCGGACGCTTCTTCCAGCCCAAGGACGAGGGCGGCTACTTCTACTTTGGTGAGGAGGGGCCTGCTGGGCACCGCCCAGGGACAACTTAGGGATGGGAGCCGCGAGGTACAGCTTCAAGTCGGCGACCCTGAAGACTCTTTGAATGTCCCAGACCCAGACCCACCCTGGGGCGCGGCGGCCCTGTTCGCTGAGCAGAGCCTCGGAGGGGGAAGCTCTAGACCCAACTTGGAGTCAGGCCTTGAGTTCAAGATCCTCGCCCTGCTACTTCCCAGCCCTGATAGGTCACTTCCCGAGCCTCAGCTTCCCCAGCTGCATGGCGGGGATTGGGAGGCCCCGGAGGGCTGTGTGCAGTCACACACCGCTGTGCCGGCACCAAGCCCATCACTGCTATTTGCCATAACTGGACCAGTGACATTTTCTGAGTGTCACCCCTGCTTATTGCACGCGTTGTGTGGGGCTAAAACCCAAGTCCCACAGGCAATTCCACGCCATATGTGCTCAGGCCCACAAGGCCTCCAACACCCAGGGCCACGCCCACAAGAAGCCACACCCACCACAGCCATGACCCTGAAGCCACGCCCTCAAGCCACGCCCCAAGAAGGCAGGTCCAATGGCCAAGCCCCATGCAAGCCACACCCATATAGACCACGCCCGCAGCAAGCCACACCCACCACGGCCATGACCCCCCCAAGCCACGCCCTCAAACCACGCCCCAAGAAGCCAGGTTCAATGGACCAATCCCCAAACAAACCACGCCCACATATGGCCACGCCCAAATTAACCGCACCCACCAAGATCACCTTGTACAGCACGCCCCCAGAGGCAGCGCCCCCGGCAGGCCACGCCCCCAAAATAAGCCACACCCACCGCAACCACACCCCCAGGAAGTCCACCCAAACGCCAGCCCTCAAGAAGCTGCTTCCCCGCGGGCCGAGCCCGCCTCGGCGGCGGAAACTGCGGTCAGGTGGCGGGGACCGAGACACGCAGAGGCCCCCCACTGACCGCCCCGCCGTCCTCCCCACCCCAGGGGAGCTGCCCCTGTCGCTGGCCGCCTGCACCAACCAGCCGCACATCGTCAACTACCTGACGGAGAACCCGCACAAGAAGGCCGACATGCGGCGGCAGGACTCCCGCGGCAACACCGTGCTGCACGCGCTGGTGGCCATCGCCGACAACACGCGCGAGAACACCAAGTTCGTCACCAAGATGTACGACCTGCTGCTGCTCAAGTGCGCGCGCCTCTTCCCCGACAGCAACCTGGAGGCCGTCCTCAACAACGACGGCCTGTCGCCCCTCATGATGGCCGCCAAGACCGGCAAGATCGGGGTGAGTGTCTCCCCGTGCCCGCCCGCGTGCACACCCCCACGGGGCCAGCGCCGACCTCCGTTAGGACAGGCTCCAGCCACAGGCGCCTGGCCGTCCCAAGGTGCTCCACCCAGAACCCAGCCCCTCCCCTCCCCTCCCCTCCACCAGTGATCAGCCACTAATCAAAAGCAGAGTCCCAGGATCCCAGCCCCTACCCCCACCCCCCATCCCATCCTCCCCTCTCGGGGCCTCACACCCCGGACCTCGAGATTTCCCAAGCTCAGCCTTAGTGACACGGTGGGCTGTCCCATGCACAAGGAGACAAGAACTTGCCTGTAGCATCCTCCACACACTTGTGATGACCCAAAGTGTGCAAGATTGGACACAGGCACCATCACCCTGACTAGCTGCAAGCACCTTCAAGCCAGGTGCTGGTGACTCACACTTGTAATCCTAGCTACTCAGAAGATGAGATCTGATGACTGTGGTTCAGAGCCAGAACAGATAGAAAAGCCTGTGAGATTCTTATCTCCAGTAACTGGCAAAAAGCTGGAAGTGGAGCTAGAGCCCCAGCCTTGAGTGAAAAAGCTCAGGGACAGCACCCAGGCTCTGAGTTCAAGCCCCAGGACCAACATACACACACACACACACACTAAAAGGAATGTCTGGTCCAGGCCTGGCTTTGCCTATCCCCACCCAACTCAGCCTCAGTTTCCTTGACTATAAAGTGGGGGGTTAAAAATGCCCTCTGGTATGTTGTTGCTGTGACAGTTTGGGGAGGTGATCATTATAAATCTCTAAATAAAGAGCATGGGATGGACGGGTAGTAAATGGTAGGGACATGACTACTAAAAAATAGAGCAATCAGCCAGGTGCTGGTGGCTCACTTTTGTAATCCTCACTACTCAGGAGGTTGAGATCCGAAAGTTGTGGTTTGAAGTCAGCCTAGGAAAGCAAGTCCATGAGACTTGTATCTCCAATTAACCACCTGAAAACTAGAAGTGGTGCTGTGCCACAAGTGGTAGAGCTAAAGAGCTCAGGACAGCACCCAGGCCGCAGTTCAAGCCCCATGACTGACCTAAAAAAGAAAAGAAAAATACAACCACCATTTAAAAATCACATTTATACCAGGGTCTTTAGACAGTACATGAAACCTGTGGTTACATTCTGATGTTGGTTTATGCTACACCCCTCAGGGCACATCCCACCATCTCTAGGCCTCAGTTTCCCTGTGTGCGAGCCTGGGATAGTAGAGTGGTCATAGGATCCTCATGGTCACAACCGTTCTGCTAAGATGGAGTCTTTGTTGCTCTGATCCAGTGAAGAGCACCATGGCCTCCCCTCCCTCATTCTGGTCTCTGAGTAGTTGACACCTGCTGAGCCCTGCTGGTCCCCCCCCCCGCCCCGCCCCCCGTCCTCCCCTGAGAGGGGCTGAGGGGTGGCCATTCCCTTGGCAGATCTTCCAACACATCATACGGCGGGAGGTGACGGACGAGGACACACGGCACCTGTCTCGCAAGTTCAAGGACTGGGCATACGGGCCTGTGTACTCCTCACTCTACGACCTCTCCTCCCTGGACACGTGCGGGGAGGAGGCCTCTGTGCTGGAGATCCTGGTGTACAACAGCAAGATCGAGGTAGGCACCAGGTGGAGGGAAGGGGGTGGCAGCAAGCAGGGATGTGGCCTCTGTGATCTTCCCCCCCCCCCAAAGTGAGGCTCTGTGAGTATAACAGAAGGTGCCAACTAAGCACCCAGAACTGTGTCCAGCACTTAGGAAAATGAGCAAGACTGGTGGGAAGACAGGTAAGGAGAGATCGATTGGGATCCTGGCTTAGTCACAACTGTGTGACTCAGGATGAACAGCTCAGCCTCTCAGAGAGTCTGTCAGCCTCTTAGTTGTAACCCAGGGGGAAGGGTAATCCTCTAGAGTTGTCAGGACCAAATGAGTTATGTAAAAAAGGCCTGGCATGAGTAAGCACTAGGTGTCAGCTATTATTATTAGTGGCCATAATGTGACCTTCTGGAAGCTCTTCTTTTTTCGTGTAGTATTTTATGAACATTGTTCTGTGTCATTGAATATTGGTCCTAAGTGTGACACTCTCTGATGTGGTTCCTGCCTCTGACTATGAGGAATGGTCCACAATAGCATCGCCACTTGAACCTAGCAAACCATCGGACAGGATGCCACAGAGATGGGGCAGAAAATGCAGAATTGAGGAACAGGTGTGATTGGCTCCCCTCCAGCCCTGCTCCACTGCTTCTTGGCTCTGTCTGTGAGCCGGGCTTCTTCTGTAGAATCCCATTTCCCTCATCCGACTTGATTTAGACTGGAGCTTACAGATTCAGCCTCCCTTGGTGCAAGTGGATTGGTTACTTTTGTCTATCCAGGGAACTATACACAGCGCTATCGTGTAGAGCTCAATTATTGATGTCTGCTCTGGGCCCAGACATGGAGAATTGCGACGAGCCAATCATTTCTCATTTTGAGACCAGGAATGTATACTTTTAGTAAGTTGCACAGGTGATTTTTACTGCCAGCAGCCCAGTACAACTTACAGGTTGGACTTTGAGGACCATTTGGGAACATGGATATTCTTGGAGGGCTTTTCTGGCTCTGGCTCTATGATGCTAGTATAGGGTGGAAGGGTAAACTGAAACAGATCTGGGTAGAACCACAAATACCGAGCCCAGAAGTTTGGGGCTGATTCTGAATACATGACCAGTTCCCTGCAAACTCTCAGGTGTATCCAGAAAACAGGTTGGGAAGGAAGAGCCCAGAGAATAGCGGGCGGGAAGGCATATTGGACATCCAAAAGATGTCTTCACCCTGCTCCTCACAGAACCGCCACGAGATGCTGGCCGTGGAGCCCATCAATGAACTGTTGCGGGACAAGTGGCGCAAGTTCGGGGCGGTCTCCTTCTACATCAATGTGGTCTCCTACCTGTGCGCCATGGTCATCTTTACCCTCACTGCCTACTACCAGCCGCTAGAGGGCACTGTGAGTGTGCAGGAGCCAGTGGGGAGCTGGGATGGGCACTAGGCTGGGCCAGGGCTGGAGTCCCCTGCTGGAGGCCCAGGAGGGAGCCAAGGGAGGAGGCTGCACAGGATCCAGAGGTTTAGGCCGTTGGGCGACATCTGGATCTGGGGCAGAAGTAGGAAGAGCAGGTGAGGACTTGGTGTGCCTGCTCCCCAGCCTCCCTATCCTTACCACACCACGGCAGACTACCTGCGGATGGCGGGTGAGATCCTCACGCTCTTCACCGGAGTCCTCTTCTTCTTCACCAATGTGAGTCTCCACCCGGCCTCTGCCTCCTCCTGGATCACTCCCCTCCACCTTCGCCTCCAGCCCCGAGTTCTCCGCTCTGCTCTTTCCCAGCAACAGACAGATGTCTCATGGTCTCTTCTCTGCCCTGTACTCTGCCTCACTCCTTTCCACCTCGTCTTCTTCTCTTCCCCTCTCCCTCTCCTCCACCTCCTCCCTTCCCCCTGGCTCCACCCCTGCCACAGGCCTCCTCCCCTCTTCCAGATCAAAGACTTGTTCATGAAGAAATGCCCTGGTGTCAATTCTCTCTTCATCGATGGCTCCTTCCAGCTGCTCTAGTGAGTGGAGGACCTGGGGCAGCAGCTTCTGGGTTAGGGTGGTTATTCAGAATGTGGGGAGAGGTGACTCTACCCTGATCCAAAGTCAGTGCAAGGCCAAGGTCAGGCAATGAGTGAAGTTTCCTGCCTAAGCTAATTCTTGGGTGGCTGGGGAGTTACCATAAACACTGATGTAATCTTAACTTCTTATGGGGGAGAGTGATTACTAATGTCTGCCCGGCATGCCAGGGTTGAGAATGTTGAGACTATTTGTGTACTACGTTTCAGGCTGGCTGTGATTGATGATGTCTGCCTAGGGTACAGGATGTGGGAGTGGCAGCCTGTGTGCTACATCTTTTCCATTCCTTAGAGTAGTAGAGAGTGATGAAATTCACTTAGCAATAAAATCTGCACTGAACACCACCAGATCTTTCTGTAGCAATTCCAAAGAGTATCACTTCAGGCCAGTACACACATGACTTTAATTCCTCATTACTTGAGCATTTTAAGGGAATGCTGAGAAGCCCAGATAATTTACTTTGTTTCTGTTGGGGGGGAGGTTGGGGGTGGCTAGAAAATAATTGGGATGACCTAGTATTCTGAAGGATGTGGGGACACATCTCCCCTTCCAGGCTGACATTGTCCCTTCTCTCTCCTCTGTCCCTTTGATGGTCTCTGCTGCCCTGCAGCTTCATCTACTCCGTGCTGGTGATAGTCTCGGCGGCTCTCTACCTGGCAGGGATTGAGGCCTACCTGGCCGTGATGGTCTTTGCGCTGGTCCTGGGCTGGATGAATGCCCTTTACTTCACCCGCGGGCTGAAGCTGACGGGGACCTATAGCATCATGATCCAGAAGGTACAGGGCAGGGCCTTGTGGGAACGTGTGTCCTGCAGACAGCCACAGTCACCCTGTGTGGGACTTACATGCCTGCAGATCTGATGAGGCAGGCCCTGGCGGGGGGGGGGGGGGGGGGGGGGGGAGCTGGCAGGGTCTGAGTGCAGGGAGGGACAGGTGGGGTTGGGAACGAGGTTTGAAGTGGAGGAGGGGGAAAGCAAGCAACCATGGGTCTCCTCTTTGTCTCTACAACCCCACTGGGGGCTTTAGATCCTCTTCAAGGACCTGTTCCGCTTTCTGCTTGTCTACTTGCTCTTCATGATTGGCTATGCCTCAGGTGAGTGCTGGGCGCTGGGTGGGCCAGCCAGAGCGGCACAAGGCACGAGCAGTAGCCATCATGGGCTGAAGACAGCAGAAGCCCTGAGATGTGTGTACCAGGCAGGGCGCTCCCGCCCTGCCTCAGTCAGTTCCCGTCCCAAATCTGTTTCCCTTTTTACATATAAGGACCCTGAGGCCGGGGCGGGGTGGGGGTGGGGGGGAGTCGATGCCTCACACCTGTAGCTACTCAGGAGGCTGAGATGTGAGGATTATGATTCAAAGCCAGCCCAGGCAAGAAAGCCCATGAGACTCTTATCTCCAATAAACCAGCAAAAAGCTACAAGTAGAGCTGTGGCTCAAGTCGTAGAGCACTAACTTTGAGTAAAAGAGCTAAGGGACAGCACTCAGGCTATGAATTCAAGTCCCAGTATACATATACTCACCCACCACACACACACACACACACACACACACACACACACACACGCACACACACACACACACACGCACGCACACACACACACACGCACGCGCGCACACACACACACACACGCGCGCGCACACACACACACACGCACGCACGCACGCACGCACACACACACGCGTGCGCACACACACACACACGCACGTGCACACACACACACGCACGCACGCACACACACACACACACAGAGGAAACCAAGGCATAGAGAGGTCCAAGTTCCAAAGCTGGTAACTGAAATCACTACCATGTTAGCCATTAATATAAGGACAGCCACCAGGACATGAGTGACTTCAAACAGCCATTTATTATGATTGCTCGTGGGTGACGGGTGAGTCTGGTGGCCATGCTGACCCAGGACAGGTATGGCTAATTTTTTTTTCTTTTGTCCGTTATGGGGCTTGACTCTGGGCCTGGGCGCTGTCCCTGAGCTCTTCAGCTCAAGGTGAGCCACTGCGCCACAGTTGGTTTTCTGGTGGTTAATTGGAGATAAGAGTCTCATGGACTTTCCTGCCCGGGCTGGCTTTGAACCATGATCCTCAGCTCCCAGCCTCCTGAGTAGCTAAGATTACAGGCATGAGCCACCAGCATCCAGTGGTATGGCTAATCTTGAGCAGTCCCTGCTCTACCTAGCTTGGCCTCGCTTGGGAGACCTGGCTGTCTCCCATTCCGACCCTCAGCCTCTAGCTAGCAAGCTTGTTCTTGTGTGGACATAAGGATTCCTAAAAGATGGGCAGAAGTACTCAAACCCAGTACCTCGTACAGAATCTCTGCTGTCCCACTGTACTGGCCAAGGGAAGTCCAAAGCCAGCCCGGGGTGGAAGTAGACTCTGGTTCCTGTGGGAGAGGCTGGCAAGCACTGAAGGCCATGGGTAAAGACTAGCACCCACATGATGCCACACTGGGGCATGCTGGGATTCCAGTGGCTTAGGCCATGGGGGAGAGACCATGGAGACTGACGCCCAGTGTCTCAGCCAGTGTCCGCATGCTCAGCAAAGGCCACCCCGGTCCTCCCCCGCAGCCCTGGTCTCCCTGCTGAACCCGTGTGCCAACATGAAGGTGTGCAACGAGGACCAGACCAACTGCACAGTGCCCACGTACCCATCATGCCGCGACAGCGAGACCTTCAGCGCCTTCCTCCTGGACCTCTTCAAGCTGACCATCGGCATGGGCGACCTGGAGATGCTGAGCAGCACCAAGTACCCCGTGGTCTTCATCATCCTGCTCATCACCTACATCATCCTCACCTTCGTGCTTCTGCTCAACATGCTCATCGCCCTCATGGGGGAGACGGTGGGCCAGGTGTCCAAGGAGAGCAAGCACATCTGGAAGCTACAGGTGAGGCCTGGGACCCATTCCTCCTCCTCATGACCCTTGGAGCCACTCTGCCTCCATTTCCCCATCCCTACAATGGGGGCAGCCAAAGCTGCTGTCTATGTCCTGGAGATTCCTGGTGAATTTGAGGAGCTCACAGGACCCAGATGGCCCTGCCCACTGTGACTGCGTGACCCCTGCCATCACAGGACACGCTCGTTACCCTAGTCCAGCTTGAGTCGCTGTAACGAAAGGCCTGTGATGTCAGGCCTGGGGGGCTCATGCTTGGAAATCCCAGCTACTCAGGAAGCTGAGGTCTGAGGATCTTGTCTGTGAGACTCTTATCTCCACTTAACCACCAGAAAACCAGAAGTGGCGCAGAGGATCAAAGGGCTAGAACCCTAGCCTTGAGCAAAAGAAGCTCAGGGGTGGTGCCCAGACCCTGAGTTCAAGCCCCATGGCCGACAAAAACAAAAACAAGAAAGTAAGACCTTACCTCAAAAATAACTAATGCAAAAAAGTCCTGGAGGTGTGGCCCAACAGTAGAGCACCTGCCTAGCAAGTCACAGATTTTGAGTTCAAGCCCCAGTAAAAATAAAATAAAAAAGAATAGAGGTTTATTTGGCTGACACCTCCAGAGGCTGGGATGTCCAGGAGCATGGCGCTGCCTCTGGTGAGGGCCTTGGGCCGAGCTTGTGAAGCAGGTGCTCTGCCACTCTGCCACTAACGCTATCACATGGCTTCATCTGATCCCAATCCCTTCCCAAAGCCCAGATGCCACTGGTGTGAACTGGGGGCTTGTTCCCGGCATGTGAACTTTTTTTTAGAACTACTTAATACGTTTAATTTTTATTTCATCTTTATGTCACACTCAACGTGAAAGAAGCTCTGCCGGCCTGCTCTTAACTTTTACCCACACAGCCTACTTCCTAGGGCCTGTTTCCCCTCTGGGCACTAGTCACAGGATGCAAACTAGCCGCCTGTGAACTGGGTCTGCCCAGCCAAAGGGTCACTTTTTTAAATATTCAGGATTATTATTAAGCGGTGCTGTGGCTCAACTGGTAGAGCACTTGCTTTGAGCTGAAGAGCTGAGGGACCGCACTCAGGCCCAGAGTTCAAGCCCCAAGATTGACAAAAAAAGAAACAAAGAAGACAACAGACAGGATTATTATTATTTTTGTGGATAATGGGGCTTGAACTCAGAGGCCTGGGTACTGCCCCTGAGCTCTTTTGCTCGACTAGTGCTCTATCACTTTGAGTCACAGCACCGTGTCCGGTTTTCTGGGGGTTAATTGGAGGTAAGAGTCTCATGGACTTTCCTGCCTGGGCTGGCTTTGAACCGTGATCCTCAGCTCTCAGCCTCCTGAGAAGCTAGGGTATTACAGCTGTGAGCCACTAGTGCCTGCATTTTAAAATGAAGACATTAGTCCTAGAACTCCAGATTTTTGGCCTTTTGGTTGGAAGTGTCATGGGGCCTGGGGTGGGGGGTGGGGTTCCTTTCTCCTGCTGGCAGACCTTGGTGGATGAGAGGCGGCTGCCCCTGGTGCAGGGTTCTCCTGCTTGATTTGCCCCAGGCCCCGCCCCTCCCCGGTGTTCCTGGCCCCGCCCCTCCTCGGTGTTCCCGGTCCCGCCCCTCGGTGTTCCAGGCCCCGCCCCTCCCCTCGGTGTTCCCGGCCCCGCCCTCCCAGTGTTCCCGGCCCCGCCCTCCCGGTGTTCCCGGCCCCGCCCTCCCGTGTTCCCGGCCCCTCCCCTCCTTGGTGTTCCCGGCCCCTCCCCTCCTTGGTGTTCCTGACCCCGCCCTCCCGTGTTCCCGGCCCCGCCCCTCGGTGTTCCAGGCCCCGCCCCTCCCCTCGGTGTTCCCGGCCCCGCCCCTCCCCTCGGTGTTCCCGGCCCCGCCCTCCCAGTGTTCCCGGCCCCGCCCTCCCAGTGTTCCCGGCCCCGCCCTCCCGTGTTCCCGGCCCCGCCCTCCCGTGTTCCTGGCCCCGCCCCTCCCTGGTGTTTCCTGGGCCCCGCCCCTCGGTGTTCCCGGCCCCGCCCCTCGGTGTTCCCGGCCCCGCCCCTCGGTGTTCCAGGCCCCGCCCCTCGGTGTTCCCGGCCCCGCCCTCTCGTGTTCCCGGCCCCGCCCTCCCGTGTTTCCAGCCCCGCCCTCCCGTGTTCCCGGCACCGCCCCTCTGTGTTCCCGGCCCCGCCCCTCGGTGTTCCCGGCCCCGCCCCTCGGTGTTCCCGGCCCCGCCCCTCGGTGTTCCCGGCCCCGCCCTCCCGGTGTACCGGGGCCTCTGCACCTTGGTCCCCTGGCTCAGTTGCTTTCCCACCTGGGCAGCGGGCGAGTTAATGAAGCCTCGTTCCCTGCCGCCCTGGCCCTGGGCCGCGTCCGCCGGGCCGAGGCGCTGGCCGGGCTCACGCCCTGCCCTCCTCCCCGCAGTGGGCCACCACCATCCTGGACATCGAGCGCTCCTTCCCGGTGTTCCTGCGGAAGGCCTTCCGCTCCGGGGAGATGGTGACCGTGGGCAAGAGCTCGGACGGCACCCCGGATCGCAGGTGGTGCTTCAGGTGAGCTTGGGGCCCTGCGTCCCCCGTGTCCACGGCACTTTAACTTCCGGAGCCACTGAGGCCCGCAGGGCCCCGCGTCGGCCGGCCTCCTGGGGCGCGTGCTCCCCAAAGCCGCCGCAGGGAGCCCTGCCGGGAGAGGAAGAAGCCGGGGACACCGACCCCCGCCTCGGGTTTCCAGCAGCCCCCTGTAGCCCATCCTGGGGGTGGGGATCGCCGGGCCCACCGCCGCTTTGCCCCCCCAGGGTGGATGAGGTGAACTGGTCTCACTGGAACCAGAACTTGGGCATCATCAATGAGGACCCGGGCAAGAGCGAGACCTACCAGTACTACGGCCTCTCGCACACCGTGGGGCGCCTGCGGAGGGGTGAGTGGAGCCTGAGCCGCGCCCCCCACGCCGCCCTGCCCTCTGCCCGGCGCTTCGGGGTCCCTGTCTGAAGAACAGGAAAGTGGGGTGGCTGTGCTCGGCTGCTGGCGAATGTGGGGCACCCTGGCATGGCTTTGCGCTCACGGCTGGCACTCTACCTCGCGAATCACACCTCCACTTCCAGCTTTGGGGCTGGTGAGTTGGAGGAGGCTGGTGGATTGGTCTGCTCTGGGCTGGCCTTCAGCCTCGATTCTCAGATCTCAGCTGCCCGAGTGGCCGGGCTTATAGGCTTGGACCCCAGCTTGGTGTGGTGGCTTAGCATGGCTCTACCTGGCTCAGCCTGCTGTGGCTGGGCCTGGCACAGGGCAGCGGATGACCTTCCACTAGATCCACCATGAAGAAATCCTTCCAGTTTTTCCACTAAACCTTTTGTTTTGTGCTCTGGGGACTTGAACTCAGGACCTCGCCTTCTCGCTTGACTTTTTCATGCCAGGCTTGACCTGAACCATTCTCTGCTTTGTGGAGTTTTTGTGTGTTTTTGGGTTTTTAGGATTTTTTGTTTTGTTTTGTTTTGGTCGTGGGTTTTGAACTCTGGGCCTGGGCACTGTCCCTCAGCTCCTCAGCTCAACGGAGTGCTCTACTATTTGAGCCACAGCGCCACCTCCGGTTTTCTGGTGGTTCATTGGAGATGAGTCTCACAGACTTTCCTGCCCAGACTTCGAACAGTGATCCTCAGATCTCAGCCTCCTGAGTAGCTAGGATGACAGGCATGAGACACCAGCATTTTTTTTTCTTTTTTCTTCTTCTTGCTAATTGGAGAGAAAGAGTGCTAACAGATTTTTCCTGCCTGGGCTGCCTTCAAACTGCAGTCCTCAGATCTCAGCCTCCTAAGTAGCTAGGATTACAAATGTGAGGCATCAGCACCCAGCTTTTCCACAAAACCTTCAGTGGCAGAGACCCTGATGGAGAGGTCATGGCTATGACATGCTGGTCTAGTCTTAGTCCTGCTTACTCCCTGCCTTGCTGTGCTCATCTGGGCAGGCCGCTGACCTCTCTGATCCCATTTCTCGCTCTGTAAAGTAGACATAGCACCGCCCCTACTTGCTGACTTTAGAACACCAGTATGCGGTGGTGCTTAATGCATGCACACACCTCCAACCCTGACATCTCCACGCTCATGTCCAGATCGTTGGTCCTCGGTGGTGCCCCGCGTGGTGGAGCTGAACAAGAACTCGAGCCCGGATGAGGTCGTGGTACCTCTCGACAACATGGGGAACCCCAACTGTGATGGCCACCAGCAGAGTTACCCCCCAAGATGGAGGACCGAGGACGCCCCGCTGTAGAGGGTGTAGCAGCCCGATCTGCTCCGTGCACCTGCTCATTTTGGTCCCCTGCATTTCCGTGGCCCCTCCTGGGTGGCCCCTGAACCCCCCTGAAATCCCCCCAGAGGTGAGGGCTGATGGAGGTGCTGGGGTGGCCCCAGGACCCTCTGGTCCCCAGCTCTGCTTACCCCCGGGGAAGGGGCCCGGCTAGCTGTTTCACTCCCATGGAGTCACATAAGCCGCCGCGGGCCCCGCCCCGCCCCGCTCCGCATCTCCGTTATTTATTGCTCTCAGGAAAGCTGTGCTGCTGCAACCCGCAGGGGCCTTGGCCCCTGGTGTTGGGTGCACCCAGCCGAGCCCCCCATGCCAGCCTACACCTCGCCAGCATGGATGGGCAGGGCCAGGCGGGGGCTTTGCTGCAGCCCGGCCATCGGGTGGCCCTGGCTTTCCGTGCGTCCTGCAGAGTGTCTGGCATTGTCGGTGCTCAATAAATGCTCGTGTCTGATGGTGGAGGAGGTGGTGGGGTGCTGGTGGGGCGGGGGAGCTCCAGACAGCCTGGCTTTTTGGGGGGTGCCAGGCCTCCGCCTCCCACTTGAGCACCAGAGTGGGTCCTCATCCAGTCCTCAGAAAAGGGGGTCCACGAGTGGACTCACAGCATGCCCGAGCCCGCCCCGCCGCTGAGCCAGGACGCGGCCGCGCCCGGGAGGGGCAGAGGCCAGGGCGGAGCAGGGCTCATTCTTCTGTCTTTTCCCACCTGGCCGCCGGGAAAACACTTGTCCTCCGGGTTGCGGGCTCTCCCAGGCTGGATCAGGAGGCAAGGTGGCCGCCTGGGCCTTTCCTGGAAGGATCTGGAGATGAGGGGAGGCCTTTGCCTTGGGTGTCCTTGGGCTGGGGATAGGGAAGGGAGAAAGGAAAGTGGAAGATTCTAGAAAGCTCTGCATGAGAGAAGAGCTGGATTCTGGCCTTGCCTAAGGAAGTGCTAAACTCCTGACTTTGTGTAGATCAAGTGTTTCCTGAGCTTTTCAAAGCAGAGGGGACACTGACTGTATCCTTCCTTCCTTCCTTCCTTCCTTCCTTCCTTCCTTCCTTCCTTCCTTCCTTCCTTCCTTCCTCACTCCCTCCCACCCTCCCTCCCTCCTCCACTCCCCTCCCCTAACTCCCCTTCCCTTCCTTATTGTTTATTTTTATTTTTGCCTGTACTTTTGTTTATTTTGTGCCTGTACTGGGGTTTGAACTCAAGGACTCTCATTTGTCTTTCTTGCTCAAGGCTGATATCTACCACTTGAGCCACATCTCCACTTCCGGCTTTTTGATGCTTAACTGCAGATGAGTTTTACGGACTTTCCTACTTGAGCTGGCTTCAAATCTTGATCCTCAGTCCTCACCTTTACCTCCCGAGTAGCTAGGTTTACAGATGTGAGCTGGTAGCACCTGTTGGTGACTGTAATGTTTCTATGAAGTTATGTGATCTGAGAGACCAGTCACAGAAAACTCCTACTGAATAAAAAAAAAAAAAAGGATGACTGGGCACCGGTGGCTCACGCCTGTCATCCTAGCTACTCAGGAGGCTGAGATCTGAGGATCTCGGTTCAAAGCCAGCCAGGTCAAGAAAGTCTGAAAGACTCTTATCTCGAGTGAACCACCAGAAAACCAGAACTGGAGCTGTGGCTCAAATGGTAGAGCACTCGCCTTGAGCTGAAGAGCTGAGGAACAGTGCCCAGGCCTAGAGTTCCAGCCCCACAACCAACAAAAAGAAAAAAGAGAGAAAGGACAATTTTATGGCTTCTTGGCTTTTTGGCCAAGGTCGAGTGTAAAAAGAATGTGCATCATTTTAGATGGAGACATCCTGAGTTAGTGAGGCCATTTCGCTGGTTAATGCAGGGACTCTGATTCTTTTTTTTTTTTTTTAGGGGTCTGGTTGTGGGGCCTGAACTCTGGGCCTGGGCGCTGTCCCTCAGCTCTTCAGCTCAAGGCTAGCGCTCTACCACTTGAGCCACAGCACCACTTCTAGCTTTTTTCTTTTTGCTTATGTGGTGCTGCTAAGGAATCGAACCCAGGGCCTCAGGCATGCAAGGCAAGCGCTCTACCACTGAGCCACCTTCCCAGCCCTGGGACTCTGATTCTTTAAACACGGGTATTTGCTGTTGATTTCCAACTATTTGTCCCTGTGAGGCATGCCTGCTGGTCGGACTGGCCTTTTCCTTACTCGGGCTTCCCTCAAGGTCGCAAGATGGCGCCCCAGATCCAGGCATCACATCTGAAAAAGGGGGAGGGGGAAAGATGGCTTCTGTCTTATGGAGGAGAAACCTTTCCTCTGATGGCCTTTAGCTTGCTTCCTTTTCTCCTTTCTTTTTTTTCTTTTGTGTGTGTTTGGTGCTAGTACTGAGACATAAGGCCTGGGAGCAGTCCCTGAGCTTTTGTGCTCAAGGCTAGCACTCTGCCACTTGAGCCACAGTGCCACTTCTAGCTTTTTGCTGATTAACTGGAGATAAGAGTCTCACGGACTTTCCTTCCTGCTTTTCCTCTTCAGTGCTTGGCTTTGAATCTAGGGCTTCAAACAGGCTAGAAGATCCAGTACAGTCTTAAAGATGGCTGACTGTGGTAGTGCACATCTGTAATCCCAGCGCTCAGGAGGCTGAGGCAGGAAGATCTCAAATTCAAGGCCAGCTTGGGCTACATTTCAAGAATGACTCAAAAAAAAAATCTTAAAGATGATCTTTCAGTTTTCTTCCAAGTTCAGGACATGTATGGTGGCAGGCCAAAATACTTTTGGGTGAATAACTGGGCATCGGATCCCGTTTTGTTTGTCCTTTTGTGGACTTAATGCCCTTTCAACACTCACTAATGTCTCTTGTTTTCTCTTTGCTGCTGTTATTTTGAGGCAGGGTCCTGTTATATAGCCTAGGCTGTCCTCCAAGTCACCTTCCTCCTACCTCAGCCTCCTGAGCTGCTGGCATTACAGGTGTTAGCCAGCAAAGTTGGGATTCATTCATCTCTGTGTTTTGGCTTGCTTGAGTGTAAGTACATGACTGGTTTATGGGATTGAAAAAGACTAGGCATTTCAGACTTCAGGCGTGGCTGGATCCTGGCTTCCAATGACACGATCAGGAGTGTCTCCCTGTGTGTCTCTGCCCTGTGTGGTGGCAGCTCTCCCAAGGCGTTGGCCTGGGAAACTGGGGGCAGGGAAGAGCTGCTTTTCCTCAGCCCTCCCAACCAGTCTCCAGACTCTACTTCTTACCTGAGCAGTTGGGGGTCATGTGTCCTCTTCCTGAGCCAATCCCTGTGGGCAGGGACCCCATATGCTCTCTGATTGGTCAGCGCTGGGTTCGTTGGTCACCCGTGGTGCTAGGAGTGGAGTTAGCTTTTCCCAGACAGTGAGGACAGAGAACGGGGAAGTTCGCTTGTCCCTGAAGCTCAAGGTTGGAAGGTGGACACCTGAGCTTCACCCTCATAGCCCAGTCCCTGATCCAGCTACATCAAGGCTCTGTGGGGCCTAACCTCCCACACCTGGGCCTGGCCATGTGACTTGTGTTGACCAATGGAAAGCCTAGGGGAGGATGAGCCACATGACCCCCAAGCTCAGAGGAACTCTAACGCTGCCACACAAGGCGTCCTGCGCGCTGCCCGGTTTTCGTGGCTTTTAAAAAAGTGCGGGCAGCAATCTTCAGTGGCTAGAGGGAAGGGTGAATCCCCTGGAAGCCAAACGCCAGACAGACTACGGCATTGTGTATTTAGCTGAGAAAATGGAGAAGAGATGATTTGCCCTGGGCATCAACCCGGCTGGTAAGTAGTGGAGGTGGGATTCGAACCTGGGCATTCTGCCCTCAGACTCTCTGGCTTCTAAGTGATGAGAGCTGATGGATGGGGCCTGGTTGTCATCTGCCACTTAGTTACTAAGTCCCCCAGCCTGCTGGCTCTTATTTCCTGCCCGCCCCCTAACAGACCCCCTAACTTCATTCCAATAAGGGTTTCTTATTATGTGCGCATATGTGTATTTAATAATGATAAAGCACTTGTATGTCATCTTTGACAGGAGGGCTTTTTTCCCCCCTAAGTTTAAAGCACTACTGGGAAATAATTAGTGCTACCCGAGGCCTAAACAAAGGATCCCATCAGAAAAGACAGTCTTAGGAACTCTCGGCTCTTAATTGAACAATTACCTCTTATGTCTATGAATGGTTCATTATTACATGCCCTGTTATTATTAGCTGTTATTATTGTTTTACATGAATGCTGGGGATTTTATTTAATCAAAAGCCATATTCAACCATACCATTCGTCTCCTCCGAATGCACACTTGTGACATTTCCCAACGGGATCTCTTCTCGGCAGCCGGCACCGAGCCTCGCCCAAAGATGCAGGCGTGCCTGGGTGGTTTGCATGGGAGATTTACTGCTCCCGGCCTCATGCTGTTAGACATTTTTGGCTTCCTGGCAAAGGGATTTATGTGAGAATCAAGCTCCTCCTGCCTTTTATTTTTGAGGAATCCAGCGTCACTGGGGACAAAGGGGAGAGTTTTATTTCAAGCTTTTAAGACAGAAGCCAGAGGGAGGGAGGGAGTCATAGGACAGGAGTGGGCCATGGAAACCCGACCCCCAGGGATCAGGAGCAAGAGTCAGGCCATCAGTGGTTAGGCTGGGAGGGGCGGTTATTGTTTGTGCAGGTGCTGGGGCTTGAACTCAGGGTCTGTGTGTGCTGTCCATTTTGTGTTCAAGGTACTCTACCACCTGAGCCACACCTCCACCCCTGGCATTTTGCTGGTTCTTTGGACATAAAGAGTCTCATGGGCTTTCCTGCCTGGGCTGGTTTTGAATGAGGATCTTCAGGCCTCGGCCTCTTGAGTAGCTAGGGATTATGAGCAGGAGCCGCCAGTGCCTGGCAGGGCAGTTTTCTCCACTCCTCCCTCTGGCCCTCTGCCACCCTCTTCTCTACTGAGCGGGTGATGCCGTAAGCCAGAGGTCAGGGACCTTTCTCTGCCAAGGACCATTTGGATGTTTCCAACTTTATTTTCAGCTCATACACAATTATCGATACAGGCTGATGGGCCGTGGGCAGTCCCCAAGAAGTATATGTCTGTCATGTCACAGGCCAAATGATTTTACTGCCGTTCTGAGCCTGCGGGGGGGGGGGGGGGGGGGGGGGAAGGGGGCCTCCCCTGTGGGGCGGGGCTGGCTCTGCCAGGTGGATGGGGCGTGGCCTCTTTCATAGGCCCTAGCTGTTGGTGCGGTGCAGTCAGGCTGACCCCAGGACACTGAGCGCGAGGGTCCTGGCTTGGTGGTCAAGCTGCAAGGCCAGGAACTGAGATGGGCTCAAAGGCCCTGTTGCTGCTTCAGGGTTAAGTTCAGGAGTTGCACTTGTGCCAGCTTATCTCAACTTCTGGAGAAATGACAGAAAGCAGGGACATGAGTCAAGAAAGCAAAGCCACCCTGGACAGGTAAGTGTCGGCCAACAGCCATGGCTCCAGCCTGGATTTGCTCAGCTCTGATCCCTGCGGGATGGACTGATACAATACTATAGCTGGGCGTGGCGCTCCTAGCCATCCTATTGGACGGCTTGGCCCAGGACAATTGGTAGGGAGGAGGACTCTTGGAGCAGGCGGGAGGAGGCCCAGCGGAGGCCGCTGCTTCGCTCTGCCTCCTTCACCCAGCCCAAATCGTGACAGCTGAGCCCTGGGACCCCACACCTGGAGGAGGTTCTGAAGCCAAACAGGCCGTGCTGCGGGGTTGCCGGTGGTTGAATGTTTTCTGCAAACACGGCAGTGAAGGGCTCAGGCTGCCTCGGACAAGCCTGTGCTCTCTCAGCTGTTTCTCTGTTTCCCGACAAAGTAATCGCCCAGATCGTGGACCTCGCTGGCCTCACCTGTCACACAGAAACGTGCCCTGCATTGCGCCTTCTGGTTGGAGGAATGAAGGAGCTTTAGGGTTAAGCTTGGTATCTCCTGTGCTCATAGTAGCTGAGGGCTGTTGGAAATAATAGCAGTGGTGTTGCTTTTGTTACCTGTCCTGCCCCCGTGTGTGGGATAAACAAAGGTAACCGATGGCCAGGCTCAGTATCACACACCTGTAATCCTGGCCACTCAGAAAGCGAGGGCAGGAAGATCAAGGGTTTGAGGCCAGTCTGGGCAAAGTTAGACCCTATCTCAAAAACAAAGACAAGAGGGCTGGGGGCCCAGTGTCACCAAAAAAATAGGTGACTAAAAATATAGGCAGGGCCACGTGTATGCAAGAGGTGGCGGAGAGCAGCGGCTCCTCTGAGCCTGAGGCCAGGGCACACTGGGAGTCTGTGCTCAGAACGGGCACAACCCCGGCTGGGCTAGCACAGACCCACCCTGCAGAGACGGACGCCGCCCCCTGCCCATATCCCAGTGTGGGTGGGGCTGCTGGCGGGCCCAGGGGACCAAGGGTGCTGAGCCCGGCCAGCTGGGTTTGTGGCCCGCACCTGGCTCACGGTGCTGGCCTCTGTGCATCACCGGAGGTGGTGGCGACAGATGGCTCCTAGTCTAGGTCCCTCAGGCTGGGCTGGTGCCGAGGTCCCCGGACCTGTCTGTGAGATGGCGTTGCTTCCGTTCCCTACTGGGTAGTGCTGCCCTAAGCCTCAGCCGCTGCTGTCTGTGCTGATTAGCTACTGTTCACGGCGACACCAGCCTGCACTGGCAGGGCCGATCTTCCTGGCCAGGCTGGTGCGCTGGATGTGGGGAACATAGCCCCCCAAAGCCCAGCCTCTGCCTCCCCTCCTGGGCCGGCTATGTGTACTGCCGAGCGCGGGGCCTGGTCCTTACGTCTGCCATGGCAGCCAAGGAGGCAGGGCTCTGGGCAGGGTGTCAGGGTGAGGGTCTTTAGTTCTCCTCACCTACATGTTAGGCTTTGAGGAGGAAGCAAAGGGAGGGAGGGAACCTGAGGCAAAATCCCCACTGTGGAGCTGGAACCTGGCCTGGCTGTGTGACCCCTGGCTGGTCACTTCAAGTCTCTGAGCCTTGGCTTCTTGCTAACCACCCCCCTACCTCCAAGGGTGCCAGGCATCTTCCCACAGGGCGCTCAGGCAGGCTCTCTGCAGTTGGAACAAATGCTGAGCTTCCTGGGCTATGGTGCGTGTGCGCCGGGCACTGGCCAGGAAGATGGCCTGGCAGGGCCACACTGGAGCCTGGGAGCCCCGAGCTCGCGAGGAAGTGATGTGCTGGGGTGTGGCGGGAGGGGCCCCGCCCCCCCTCGATGTGCCCTGGGGGCTGCAGGCCAGTGTGGGCTAAGGGTGGCTCCCATGTCCCAGAGGGAGGTGGGCAGGCAGGAGCAAGAATGAAAACAGGAGCTGCAAAGCAAGCAGACAGCTGAGACACCATCTGTGTTTTCCTTTTTTTTTTTTTCTTTCTCTTCCTTTTTAAAACAATATAGTGCGGACCGCACTTCTCACAGTAGAATATAATGGTCAATTTTAGTATAAAAAAACATTCTCAGAGATTTGTAAATGCACTTAGTGCTGGAACAGGCCTTGGAGAGATACAGTACCGCTTCTGGAGCGCCAGGGGCTGGGCTCGGGGACGTGTTGGGGCCCCCACTTCTCTTCCCCATGACGGTAAGGGCCAGGCCCTGCGGGTGACTTGTTGGATTGGGGCTCATCCCCCCCCACTGGCTCCTGGGCAACACGCGCGCGCGCACACACACACCAGGGACCTTGGGATGGGTCTGTTCGGGGCCCATCGCAGCTCCTGGCGCCGCGTGCGAGTAGGAAAATGGTGCCCTTCCTCAAGATGCGGAAAGTTGTAATAAATACACAAGTCTAGGATGTACGTGGCGTCTCCTCAGACAATGCCCTGTGCAGTGCACTGCCCGCACAACTGTGCAGCAGCCCTGGGGGGGGGGGGGGGGGGAGGCATTGGTCCCGGGATGATTGTTAGGAAGGGAGAGTCTGAGGAAGAGCAGCAGGGGAACTGGAGTCCTGGGCGTCAGCTTCTGGGGGACGAGTGGTCTTCATCTGGATTGGTTGCAGGGGAGGAGGGTGGGGGGGGAGTGTGATCTCCTGTCTGCTCCAGGAGGCAAAGGGCTTGCAGGGGGACCCGGTGTGACTCGCACCTGACGGAGCCCCACCTTCACTGACATCCACCCCAGACCCAGGAAGCAGCACTCCTGTGCTGCGCGGCCTCTCCCTGCCCGGGCCACTGGCTGTGTCTGGGCCCTCCCGGGCCAGGCAGCCACCGGGGCAGGAGGAGCTTGGTGGGGGAGGCCCCTGTGCGCGCCACTGCTGCGGCAGCCAGCCCCGCTTTCCCGGGAGCACCCACAGGCGCGGGGCAGGGCTGCATGCCCCTGGGGGCTGCCCGCCCTGTTCTACGGCTGGCACCCTGCCCGTGTGTCCACGCGTGCTCCGGGCGGCCTTATCTGTAGACAGGCAGGCGGATGTGGGCGTGCTGGTGGTCGAGCAGCCGCGGCACGGCCACGGTCTCGTAGCCCTTGCCCAGCATCTGCTCCTTGATGCAGGGCGGCCGGATGTCGTTGATGAGATACTCCAGCGACTGCAGGCTGCTGCTCAGCACGGACGTGTTGCACACGCTCTTGCTGGGCAGGCCTGTGAGCGTGGCCACCCCCGAGCCCAGCTCAGTCACCGCCACGGCCGCCGCAGGGTTGTAGCAGTCGCTGGTGGGCGTCACGAGCACGCTGTTCCAGGGGGCTGTGAAGTACTGGCCCATGGTGAAGCCGGGCGGCAGCCCCACGCCGCAGTGGAGAGGCGACCCGCCGGCCCGCTCGTAGCCCCGCGCACCGCAGGCCTCGGGGGACTTGCTGGCCACCGTGCCCCCGCCGTAGGCACGCAGCGGCTGGGGGTGGCGGCGGAGGGGGCTTTTGGGGCCACAGCAGGTAATCCAGGCCGCTGTCTGTGTAGCCTGCAGGCTTGGTGGCTCCAGCCAGCGTCAGGGCTGGCGTGGCTCCCTGGCCCAGCTCCGCTCCTTTCCGGCAATCGGGCAGCCCGGCTGTGGCCGAGTAGGCCATGCTGGGGAAACTGGGCACCGGGCCGTGCTTGGCCGGGCTGGGGTGGGGGACAGCCACGCCCTGGCAGGTGGCGGGTGCAGCACCTGGGGCCTGGCACTGCTGGTTGAGCTGGTAGAGGATGCTGTGGATGGAGGGCAGGTTGGAAGGCGGCAGCGGCAGGCCCCGGCCGGGCAGGGGGATGACGGAGGTGGCGGGTGGCGGCTGCAGGCAGGCCGGGCGGCGGGGCGGGGGCTTCGGGTGGCTTGGGATAGGCCAGGGACCCCAGAGTGCTGGGTGCCGGGTAGGGCGCGATGCCCACCTGCACAGTGGCCGGCGACAGCTTGGTCCGCTTGCCCTCAGCGTTCTTGAGGACGCTTTTGGTGGGCCCGGTGGGGGCCGCTGTGCTGGAGGAGGAGACGGCGGCCTTGACGATGGCCAGCAGGCCCTGGTAGCCGGCGGCATGCTGCGGGTAGGGGCTGTAGCGCTGGGTGCTCGTGTCGTAGCCGTTGACCGTGCGGCTCAGGTGCTTGTGCTGCGGCACCCGGATGTTGGTGGGAAAGATCTTGATGGACAGCGGGCTGTTGGCCACCTTCTCCGCATAGGCGTCCAGCTCGGCCGGACTCGGGTAGCGGGAGGAATGCATGGAGCTGGCCACCGCCTCGCCTACAGGGACAAAGGCACAGGTTACCGCTGACCTGGTGGCCGCACACCCAGCCGCCCAGCTCCCTGCTTTCCTCCTCCTTCCTTTCTTCCCATTTCCAAAGTGTCTGCTAGGACTGAGGGGCTGGCAGAGGATGGCGGAGCCTGTTTTCCAACCCATGGAGCGCTGAGGGAGAGACTTCACTACTCAACCTCAGTTTCCTCATGGGTAAAGAGGTGTGTGTGGGGGGGTAATGGCGATGGGGTGGGTCACAGGCTGTTTGAGTTTGTTTAGATGCCTTCCCCTCTGCCCTCAGAGGAAGGGGTGAGGGCGCAGGCCTCTGCCAGCCTCCTCCCCCTCCCTGCCCCCCACTTTGGGGGCTCACAGCCTGTGAGAGGGAGGTGCAGGCAGCCTCGGGTCTGGGGAGCCTGCCCGCTAGGAAATCTTGCTGCTGGTGAGGTGAGGAGGAGAGGAGGAAGGGGAGAGGTGTGCAGAAGCTGACTTCCAACAGTGGGCAGGGCCAGATGGGAGAATCTCTGTAATGACGCAGGATGTGAGCAGGTGCCAGAGCAGCTTGTGGAGAGCGACCCAGGAGGTGAATAGGAGCCTTGGGTGGGCATGGGCAGTGCGGAACATGTGCGTGTCACCACTGGGAATGGACGCATGCATCCAGCAGTTGGGGTCCTGATGCTCTGAACATCCCACACGCCAGCAAGGCTCGGCCAGGTGAGATGCCCTGTGCACACTGCATAACCCACAGGCCAGCGGCCTCCATCCTTCTGACCTAACCGGGGCTGGGAGGTGAGCGCAGGGTGGGCCCGGACCTGACCCCTGCCTGGGGCAACCCCCTCCTAAGTGGTCTAAAATAAACTCGGTGTGGAGAATGGAAATGTCACTTTGGCCAATGGGGGAATCTTTCTCTGAGATTGGATTTAAACTACATTATACAAGCAATTTCATGGGCACTTAGCGCCGCTTGGAGAGTCCCGCAGAAAAGGGACCCGCTCTTCATTTGCCAGCCATAAATCAGCAGTTGCTATAATGAGCACAAAAATGTCACTTTTATGCAATTTTACAGATGAACAAAACTGGTGAAATTAGCTGTGGTAACCTACTAGACTCAGCAAAAGCGGCTGCCGGGAGGGGGAAAAAAAAATCTCTGTGTATTTTCGTCTCTCTTAAACTCTCTTCCCAAGCAAGTTCTGCCATTGTGGTGTGAAAACGCATTTGTCCCCGCCATTATACTTCATTCCCAGTTTATCTTGAGTAGCCAATGAGCCACCAACTGTGAAAATGATTAAATCTACAAAATCTATCTAATGGATGGAATAAATTAGGTGTTTAAAACCTTAAAAAGGAAAGAAACCAATGCCCGCCTGCTCCCTGCACCCATCCACTGCAAAAGGGGTGAACCCCCCAATCTGGTCAGCAGGCCTCCTCGAGGGCAGTCAGCTTTTGTAGCTGTGTTAGAAGATGGTGACATTTGGTGACCAACTGGCAGGTGCCAGTCTCTGCGCACCGGTAACAGGCATGGGCGCAGCCTCCACTTTAGGGACAAGGAATCGGGCTGTGGAATTTGGTGTCTGGCCTCTGAGACCTTCCTACCCTCAGTGATCTTTATTTTGGGGGACACAAAAACAAACACTTCACAGATAAGCTGGCCTAGAACTCACAACTTGTTTCAGCCTCCTGAGTATGAAGCCTCTGCTGTGGGTCCAGATGGCCCTAGACCTTTGGCTTTAGTTTTCAGATTGGATCTTGTGCTTTTGCCTGGGGTAGTCCTTGAACTGCAGTCCTCCTTACCTCCGTATGTTGAGTACAGGGATTACAGGCCTGCACCTCTATGTTTGGCCTGCAGCATTCATGCTCAGCATGATTCTTGGCTCCTAGGACCCACACAAGGAGGACTGAACATCCTGGTCCAAAGAGAGACTGGGGTTCCTCCTGGCTCATTCTCTGGGGTCTCCTGCTCTGAGACTGAGGCCTGGTAGAGATGGACACAGGCCTAGCCCTGGCCACAGCCTCTGACAGACTCTGAGCAAAGCTACCCGGATAAGCTGTTCCCAAGTTCCAGGCTGCACAGCCCCCTGGGAGGCACTGAGGAGAGGGAAGCTTGGCACACGGCAGCAGATGGTCTGGAGAGGGTCAGACACCCTCCGTCTGCCTTCCGGGTCACTGTCACCCCAACCCAGGCAGGGCCAGCTCGTACTCTTTGTGAGTGGAATCAGGTGCACTGCGCAGGGCTCAGCGTTCCCAGTGTGTGTGTGTGCCAAATGTGAGGTGTGCATGGGCCATCAGCGTTCCTGGCTCTGGACCTGGGCTGGTTACAGACCCCCTGTACGTCTTTGACTTCTGCCTGTTCCCCGAAGATCGCTGCCATGGCCCACGGCCTGCCTGCTCCACGGCAGCAGGGGGTGTGGTTGGAGGTGGGTTTCCTGGCAGGGGCAAGGATGGGACAGAGTAGAGGGCAACTGGCACAAGGTCCAGCCTGGATGCTGTTCCCTCCCCATCCATCCTGACTGCTCCAGCTGGGTGCCGTCCCCACATGGGTTTCAGTCCATCAGCAGAAACCACGCTGCTGTTGGCTTGTCCTTACCCACCAGACTGGGATTCCTTGCGTGTGCACTGCTGGGCACACACATTCTTGAACAGATGCTCAAGAATGCCGTACTGAATGAATGACGAGGCTGTGGCTGCAGGGATTAGCTCTCTGCCAGTCCTGTCGCTGGGAGCGGAGCTTCCCCCAGTCTCTCCAGTGTGCCCTGAGGTCCTTCCTCGAGGTCCTAGAGACTCGAAGCACCAGGATGTCTGCCCTCCTTGGCCCACGCACCTCTAGAGGAAGGAGGGCTACACCAACCCCACACCAGAAGCATGGGCAATGGCTTGGAAATGTGTCCACTGATAGCAATCTTGTTTCTGCCGTGTGGAAATGTCACAGCGGCTCTCGTGGCCTCCACCTGCTGGTGTCTGCGTGGCCCCATCAGAGTGAGCATGCCCACCACCAGGGACATCACAGCAGGGCACCGTCCTGTCCTGGCACTGAGCATAATGAATGGCTGCTTGTCGCTAGTCTGGAGTCAGGAGGAGCAGGGAGGTGGACTGAGTGGCGGGGTGAAAGGTGCCTAGTTTGGACTTGATGGTCAGTGGGGGGAGGGAGGGAGAGGGAACCCTGCGGGCAGCTAAGGGACGTGGGAGCAGGTGCGGGGGCCAGGGTGAGTGCTGGGAAGCGTTCGGGGTGAGAGAGGGCAGAGCAAAGGCGGGCCCGCTGTGGGACCTGGCTGTGCACCATACCTGCGTGAGGAAGGGCCGGCAGAGGCACCAGGCGGACTTGAGAATGTGGGAGAGGAGGATCCCAGGCTCACTGTCCCCCCTCAGCCCTGTCTCTCTCCTTCGCTGCACCATGCTTTGTTTAATGACAGCGGGGGCCCACCCTGGAAGGGACTGTGGGCCCGAGGATGACAGAAGTTTTACTTCTTTGCTTCTCTGCAATTGCCAGTGGCCAGCCATGGACACCAGTGGGCTGGGATGAGGGAGGGTGCGCAGGTCCGCTCTGCTGGAGTCCCCTGCAGGGAGCCTGGGGAGGGGCCCCATCCATCCCCACCACGTCTGCCGACCCTCCCTGGCTCCCATGGCCTGCCCTACACGGGGTGGGCTTGGGGCTGAGGGAAGGCACTGGCAGCCGCAGCACCTCGGGGTGGAGACCAGTGGAGTCCGAGTCCCTGCTGTCCACCTGGGGGCTGCTGCTCACACTGGCGTGCTCAGTGCTGGGTGACCCTCTTCCACCCACCCACCCGGACGTGGGCTCTCCCGACCCTCCAGGTCTCAGCTGACATGCCTCCCAAAAGAAAGACAGCTCCCTCGCACCCCAGCTGCGCACTGACTTGTCTCCTAGCCTTTGCGGGCAGATGCTGCTCTTCTTGCCATCCTGACACTACATAGAAGAATGGCACCACGCAGTGGGTGCTCTGGAGCGGCGTGGGAATGGGAGAGCTCCAAGGCCTTGTGGAGGCTGGGGTCTTAGAAGGTCACACGTCGGGGGAGCAGGCATCAAGCCAGGGCGAACCACTGCCTACCAGGGTTGCACAGGCAGGGCTGAGGCGGGCCAAGGAGGATGAGGACTCAGGTATGCGGGCCGGGGGCTCCCACTCCAGGAGCTGGCCTGCCCGCCCCACCCGGCCCAGGCTGGATCCGTCTCCATCCACCGCAGCCCCCATCAAAGGCTTGTCAGCACATTTAAAAGGCTGGCAAGAAGTGCCGGGCAAATCGTCACTGCCATTAAGTTAATGTTATGGGCCTTTTACAGGTGCGTTAAATAGACGCAGTTATTAACGAGTATATTAAACCAATTAAAACCAGCCCTTTGAGTGGGGTTTAATGCCGCCTCAGGGACACATGGGAGCAGCCCTGGCCACACTGCTGCCTTCTAGAAGCAGTGAGGGGGCGTGGGGAGGTAGGGAGAGCTGGGGGAAGGGTTCCCTCTTCTGCAGGGACCAGAAGTGAGAAGCAGAGTCCGGCTGCAGGCTGACCTTGAGCGTGGGTGCCTGGGGCAGGACCCTCCAGAGCTCTGTGCTGTGGCAGACACTGCACAGTCCTGCTCAGCTCGGAGGGGGTGGGGGCAGCCACCCCAGGCCTCCCCGGGGAGGCTGGCGTCTGCAGTGGGAAAGGCCTGTCCGGTACACAGAGGCAGCGGGGACAGCGGTGCCGGCTCCCTCACCCTGTGAGGCCATGCTGGGGCTGGCTGGCCCCATTAGCCCAGCAGATCGCAGTGTGGCGAGGGTGCACCTGCCCCACGTCCCCGACTGGGAGTGGGAAGCAGCAGATTTGGAACTGGGCTGGTGGCTCTGCGGCCTCCTCCTCATGGCTTTGCAGAACCAGGATCCCACAGGCCGCCCTTGGAGAGGTGGCTCCCTGCGACTCCAGGTTTCTGGGTCAGAATGGGGCCGGGGGGGGGGGGGGGGGGGGTGGGCGGGGAATGAGGGCATGCCAGGCTCCCAGGAGACATGTCGGGGTGTGGTTTCTCCCT